ATTTCATGTGTAAAGTGAACCCTTTGGCGTGTACCCCATAACCCTGACATTGTTTTTGTCTTTGTTTTAGGTCTTCCTGAACAATACTACAGCCTCACTTGGTTCCTCAGCCCTATCCTGGGCTTGATCTTTACTCCGCTGATAGGATCGGCCAGTGACCGCTGCACGCTGAGCTGGGGCCGCCGGCGGCCTTTCATCCTTGCTCTCTGCATTGGTGTCCTCTTTGGAGTTGCACTTTTCCTTAATGGCTCTGTTATAGGTAAATAACGAGGAAATCACCTGCAGTCATCTCCTGCTAACCTGTCTGCTTTAGGGTTATTATGTAGGAAGTAAAGGTGGTGACGTGCAGCTGATTGAATTTGTGGTTAGTGTCGTCATAGAATCGTCATCAAATCACAGGACAGTTTGGGTTGGAAGGGATTTTAAAGATCATATAATTCCAATCCCACTGCATGGGCAGGGACACCTCCCACCAGACCAGGTTGCTCCAAGCCCCATCCAACCTGCCCTTCAACACCTCCAGGGATGGAGCAGCCACAACTTACTTGGGCAACCTGTGCTAGTGTCTCACCACCCTCACAGTGAAGAATTTCTTCCTGGTGTCTAACCTAAATCTCTCCTCTTCCAGTTTTGATCCATGACCCCTTGTCCTCTCCCTACAAGCCCTTGTCCCAAGTCCCTCCCCAGCTTTCCTGTAGCCCCTTCAGGCACTGGAAGGTGCTGTAAGGTCTCTCTGGAGCCTTCTCTTCTCCAGGCTGAACAAAGTCATCAGAAGTCTCTACCACACTACATTTCAGCCAATCCATCTTGCATGTTTTATTCTTCTTTGGTGCTGTGCTAAGTATTGTGCAATCAGAGCTGTAGCTGCTAGGACAGTGTTACTAATACAATGGTTGCCAGCATAATGTTTTCAGTCACTGAGACAAATTTGGTCGATCCTTGACATGGGAAAATTGTAGCAACCTGTTCACAGGGAAATGTTTCCTGTTGTGATCCTTTTTCCCTTTAATGCATATCTGGCAACACATCCTGTTTCCAGCATTATTTCAAAAATTATCTTTTCACTTTTTCTTGTGCTTTTCTTAGACCTGGTATTGAAAAAGTCCAGAACACAGTTAATATTTGTTTATCAAAAACTATGTGGGAAAATAATTTTTCCTGAGCCCCCATCAAAGCTGGTAAAAATAGTTTCCCTTGAACATAGTTTACTACCAAACTTAATCTCCAATCTCTTTGTACATTTAGTGTAGGAGAGGTGACAGCAAGTACATTTGGGGAAGTGTTTACATCGTGGTTGTACTCATGCAAATGAAAGGAACTTAGCACCTAATAATATCCTCTAGGGTCTTTTTTTTTTGGGTTAGATGCAGCTCTATTGTGAAAAAGTTTTACTAATTGAGGGAAATGAGTGGAACACTACCTTGGCTCAGCCTGTTAGCTTTTTTTAAGCCAGACTGGGATTTCATACCATGGTTTTCCATTTTCTACACACTGCACTGGACAAACTGTTCAGATGAATGACAGCTTATACTTTTTTCATTTACCTAAGCAATAAATATTAATTATTTTAATTGCTATCATATGGTATCAATTGTACTTTGTTGTTGTGACTCCAAGAGTTGTTCTTCCTCCTCCAGATCTATACAAGATGTTAGACTCCAGCCCTCCTACAAGATTTTAATTGACAGGAAGCTCTTACTTCTACACAGTAGTTTAGGTCAGTAGCCATTGATACTGGCAAGCAAACCTCATATGCAGTTTTTAAGCTTATTTTGAAGTATCTCACCTGTTAAAAAACCAGCACAAAATATTGTCTTTGATTTTTCTCTAATTCTGTGTTGCCCAGTAACACAGGCTGTGCTTTCCAGATACTCCAGAGGTATATTTATGCAATGAAACTTGTTTAAAAATTATTGGAAATTCTTTCCTGTGTGGGTGGTGAGACACTGGAACAGGCTGCCCAGAGAAGTTGTGGAAGATCCATCTCTGGAAGCTTTCAAGGGCAGGTTGGATGGGGCTTGGAGCAACCTCATTTGGTGGGAGGTGTCCCTGCCCATTCAGGGGAGCTGGAACTTTGTGATCTTTAAGGTCCCTTCCAACCCAAACCTGGGTGATTTTCTGTTTCTATTAAACACAGAGGTTGTTGCAGTGGACCTTGAAAATGGCATGTAGTTGTGTTAAATTTTGAATGAAAATCCTCTTCTGAAAAGCACTTTAGACACTGCTGTGCCTGTCCCAAGGGAGCCTGGAGCCAACAGAATTCAAGTGACAGCTGTTCCATGGTCTTCTCTAGATCTGTGCCACACCAGAAGACAGATTTGCACCAAACTTTCAATTTGTATCAGCATAAGAACACTTGAGCTACTATGTAAAGCAGGTGTACAATGTGACAAAGCAATATTGGTGTCTCTTGAACTCTTTGAAATGGTGGCTCTGTCACTTTTCAGGGGGAGAAGGCTCTTCTTAGCAGTCTGGCAAAAGGGAATTTCTAGCAGTTTACAGGAAGAGGCCTCATCTGGAACCAGATTTTCTTCTAGATAGACCCTTTATGCTTTCAGTGTCTGTCATCTTCCCATTTTATCCTCTGACTTTCCTATCCTTAGTCTCCAATTACTTGCACTCCTAGTTCCAATTTGGGGCTAGAGGAGATGCTACAAAAAACCAAGGTGGTTGTTGTACTGTGCCCCTTTCCATAACCTGGCCTCTGGCAGCAGGAGTCATTGGGATGGAAGCAAGGAGCACAAGAGCATGTAAAAAAAATGGGAGTTCTACAATCCTAAGGATACTAAACCATGTTCCAGGAGAGCAGCTGTGTCTAGATCTTACTCAGCTCTTGTTTTCCCCTCTGTAGGCTCAGCTTTCCACCAGATCCAAAGCATTGACACTGTTGATGTTTTCTGTTGTAAGGTTCAGCCAAGCATGGAGCACCTATGAGCTTCCTTAGCATTCAGAGGACTTGGTATAAATGAGGACTGAATGTGCAGGAAACAGAGCACTTGAGATTTAGATGTTTTCTGGTGGCTTAGCCAGCTCATCTCTTTCCACAGACCTTTTCACCAGTTACTCTAATGGTTTTATCTCAGAGTCTTGCATGTGTAACTTCTAAACCTCTCTGATTCAAGTGATTGATGCTTTTTATCAATGGTTGGTTTAGTGAAAAATTCCCCATCTGTATAATAATGCTGCCTTTCCACTCTGTAGACAAAAAGCATTTCCTCCCATGCTGTCAACAGAAGCTGATGCGCTTTGCAATCCAAAATACCTTCATGTTGCTTCATCCTTCAAAGTTTTGCTTAGAGAAGTGACCTAGGCAACACGAATGTTTGAGAAAAGCAAAGAGAGAGATGAAGGGTTTAAATTTTACTTTATCCTGCTGTGCTGCAGCCATTACATGTTTGTCAGCAGTGCAGTTACCTCTGTAACTGATGGAGGAGGCAGAACAGTTTGGGTGTGGATGCTCTCCTCTGTCACCATGGCTGTCTTTTATACAAACAGCCTCCAGCATCTGAAGGAAAATACAGGTGAGGAACATGGAATAGTATCTAATGCTCTCAAAGGTTTAAGAGATACTATAGAAACCAATATGTTGAAAAATAAAATGTCAATCCTAAAAATTTAAAACCATAATATTCTGTCCCAGACCTACCATGAAGCTGAGAGTTGAAACTGCCACTTGACTCTGTAAAGGAAGGTTTCCAGTGAGTGGCTTGGCCACCTTTCTCTCCAGGAGTTAAGTTGCTGGTGGTACTTTTCCCTTTCTGATGGACATGCTCAGCTTAATCTCCTATTCCCCCCAGGCCTGGCTATTGGAGATGTCCCGGACAAGCAGCCCATTGGGATTGTTCTCACAGTGCTTGGTGTTGTGGTGTTGGATTTCTGTGCTGATGCTACAGAAGGGCCAATTCGGGCCTACTTGTTGGATGTGGTGGACAGTGAAGAACAAGACATGGCCCTTAACATCCATGCGTTTTCAGCAGGTATGGAGTTAATCAATACCCTTTTGGCAGCTGCCAGGTCTTTCTGACCAAGTTGTGACTGAGTTGATTTTTCCTGAACTCCCTTCTTTCTTCTCTTGCACAGGTCTCGGAGGAGCCATCGGTTATATGTTGGGAGGGCTGGACTGGACACAGACCTTCCTGGGCAGTATATTTAAATCTCAAGAGCAAGTCCTTTTCTTCTTTGCAGCCATTATTTTCTCTGTCTCCGTTGCTCTCCACCTTTTTAGCATCGAAGAAGAGCAGTACAACCCTCAGCAGGACAGGATTGATGACGAAGGGGACACACTTTCCAGTGTCAAGTTCAGTGGTAGCCTCCCCCCTCTCCATCGACTGAATGTCATTAGTGAGGAAGAGCCCTATGGAGCCTCCATGTTCCACGATGATGTTCAGTCAGAGAACGACCTCAATATGGAGTTCCCTGAGGTGAACATTGTGAGAAGTAAGAGTGACTCAGTCCTGCACATGCCCGACGCGACGCTGGAAATTGAACCAGAGCTGCTTTTTCTGCATGACATCGAGCCCTCCATTTTTCAGGATGCTTCATACCCAAACACTCCCCACAACACAAGCCAAGAGATCATGAAGTCCAAACTCAACCACCTGTCCGTTTTCCTCAGGGACAATGAGAAAGAGGAGGATATGTTGCTCGATAACCGCTTAAATGAAGACACAGTCCCAAATGTGAACGGCTCCCTGCCAAAAGAGTTCCTCAACGGACACACCAGGATAGGCATGAAGCAATCTAACACTTCAAACTCCATGAGGAGGAGGAGACACATGTTCTACCGCCAACCATCCTACACCTTCTCCTACTATGGCAAAATTGGCTCCCACCGTTACCGATTCCGCCGGGCCAACGCCATCGTCCTGATCAAGTCCTCGCGCAGCATGAACGACATCTACGACATGCAGAAGAGGCAGAGGCAGAGGTGCAGGCACAGGAACCAGAGTGGCACCACCAATTCCAGTGGGGACACTGAGAGTGAGGAGGGGGAGACTGAAACCACCGTCAGACTCTTGTGGTTGTCAATGCTGAAGATGCCGAAGGAGCTGCTGAGATTGTGCGTCTGTCACCTCTTGACTTGGTTCTCCATCATTGCTGAAGCTGTCTTCTACACGGATTTCATGGGCCAGGTCATCTTTCGGGGGGATCCAAAGGTAAGAGAACAGTTACCAGGGGCAGACCTGCTGACAGTGACTCATCTCTGAGATGTGCTCATTACAAGAAAACAGCTTTGTGTTTGTTGCAGGCCCCCTCGAACTCCACCGAGTTACATGCCTACAATGCTGGGGTTCAGATGGGATGCTGGGGACTGGTCATTTATGCTGCTACTGCTGCTGTTTGTTCAGGTAAGAGACTGCACATTCAGTGAAATGCACCTCATAAAACCAGTTTTGCTTCAGGTAGCATCCACCTCCTGGTTTGGGGTGAAGCATCATAGAATGGTAAGGGTTGGAAGGAACCTCCAGAGATCATCGAGTCCAACCCCCTGCTAGAGCAGGAACACCCAGGGCAGGTCACTCAGAAAGGCATCCAGACAGGTCTTGAAAGTCTCCAGAGAAGGAGACTCCTCAACCTCTCTGGGCAGCCTGTCCCAGGGCTCTCTCACAGTAAAGAAGTTCTTCCTCCTGTTGAGGTGGAACTTCCTGTGTTCCCATTTGCATCCACTGCCCCTCGTCCTAAACAGGGCATGACTGAAAAGAGATATTCATGACATCCAGCCTTCAGATACCTGTAGACATTAATAAGGTCCCCTCTGAGTGTCCTTTTCTCAAGACTAAACAGCCCCAAGTCTCTCAGCCTCTCAGAATATTGTGGAAAAGCATTTCATGTGGTTATAAGAGGAGAGGCTTCTTGAAGAATCAGTATTTTGAAATTCTTCCAAAAGAATTTTATAACAACTTTATCATGTTATAATAACAATAAGAAAGAATAATTTTATGTATACTTTTACAAGAATGTAATATATGATTTTATAAGAATAGAGGCAGAAAAATGAATACATCAGTGAAGCAGCATAAAGCACAAAGTGACATCAAAGGATATTGAATGGCATTTAGCTACTCCTCAGGAAACTACCATTATGCTTTTTAGAAGATTCAAGCACATATAAGAGGGGATTTGCAAGGACTGTTTTTAAAATCAAAATAATCAATACAGATTTCTGAAAGTCTTCCATGTTCTCTAGTAACAGCCAAACCAATTACAGACAATTCAGGCTTGAAATGCAGGCTCTGAACTCCGGAGCTTTTGCCAGACTTCTGCCTTTTGCAGTGTGTGCAGGCACGTCTGCACAGGGTCGTGAGGCCTGTCTCCTTGTTGAGAGGTGTCAAACAGGAGTTCAGGTGGGCAGATTGTTTCTGAACGCAACTGGAATTCAGCTGTAAACATTAATTATCTGCTCACAGCCCAGAGCAGGCTGAGCAGTGCTGCTGGGACAGGCCAGACCTGCACTGAGCATCTGAGTCCTGAGCAGCAAATCGAGCTGTCATGGCCCTGTCAGAATCACAGAATGGTTTGGGTTGGAAGGGACCTAAAAGATCATCCAGTTCCAACCCCCCTGCATGGGCAGGGACACCTCCCAGCAGCCCAGGCTGCTCCAAACCCCATCCAACCTGCCCTTCAACACTGCCAGGGATGGGGCAGCCACAGCTTCCCTGGGAAACCTGGGCCAGGGTCTCACCACCCTCACAGGGAAGAATTTCCTCCTAATGTCTAACCTAAATCTCCCCTCTTCCAGTTTTAATCCATTACCCCTTGTCCTTTCACTACAAGCTCATTTCAGAAGTCCCTCCCCAGCTTTCCTGGAGCCCCTTCAGGCACTGGAAGGTGCTCTAAGGTCTCCCTGGAGCCTTCTCTTCTCCAGGCTGAACACCCCAACTCTCCCAGCCTGTCTCCAGAGCAGAGCTGCTCCAGCCATCTGACCATCTTTGTGGCCCTTCTCTGGATTCTCTCCAATAGCTCCATGTCCTTCTTGTGCTGAGGGCTCCAGAGCTGGACACAGCACTCCAGATGGGGTCTCACCAGAGTAGAGGAGAAGAATCACCTCCCTTGACTTGCTAGCCACTGATATTTCTGTTTTGTTGTTGATCTTTGCAGCCTTGTTGCAGAAATACTTGGACAACTATGACCTTAGTATAAAAGTGATCTACATCCTGGGCACGCTCGGGTTCTCCCTGGGCACTGCAGTGATGGCCATGTTCCCCAACGTGTATGTCACCATGATCATGATCAGCACGATGGGAATAGTCTCTATGAGTATCTCCTACTGCCCCTATGCACTTTTGGGACAATACCATGATATTAAACAGGTAGGTGGAATATTTTGAGAGTATTTAATATTTAATCCAGGCAGACAATTCATGTTTCTCTGAAGGTGATGGTGCCATCATGGATTTACTACATCCCATGATCTGAGATACCTGCTTTGTTGGGATGTGTGTCAAAGCACAGAGTCATCCTTGATAGTAAATAGCAAGAGCTGCCACTTAAATCAGATGGTGTTAGCATCAGGTTGGCTCTGTGGGGTCATGGTTGCTTTACCCTCTGCTGGCGTATGAAAGGATTTGAGTGCAAATGGTAGTTGAAGATGAAATAGTTATTGGGGCATTTATGATACACCTGGTGGTTGTTACTGTTCCTGACGTGTTTATGTTTGGGTTACTCAGGTTCTTCCCAGTCTTAGATATTGAGGTGAGCCTGGAAATGCAGCTGTAGGTTGGAGGATGCATAAGGCAAACTTGATTCTTCTGGAAACTAGGACAAATTGATTTTCTAGCACTATTTGGATTACAAATTACAGGAGAATCATTCATTTATCATTATCCCATGTTTCTGCATTGAGATTTGGATTGGTATTCCTTTTTATTATCATAAAAATAATTTCCAACAACTGTTTAATGTCAGTTTCTTTTACAAAATCTAATCTTGGAGCCCATTCATGCTGAACGTGCCCCAGAAAACATTTGCTTTTTGGTGGAGGAGGCCATTGATAAGTAGATGGGGAGAATCATAGAATGGTTCAGGTTGGAAGTGACCTTAAAGGGTCCAACCTCCCTGCTATGAGCAGGGACACCTCCCACCAGACCAGGCTGCACAAGCCCCATCCAACCTGCCCTTGAACACCTCCAGGGATGGGGCTTCCACAGCCTCCCTGGGCAACCTGTTCCAGTGCCTTCCTACCCTCATGGTGAAGAATTTCTTCCTGATGTCTAACTTAAATCTCCCCTCTTTTAGTTTAAAACCATTCCCCCTTGTCCTGTCACTGCCCTCTCTGGTGAAAAGTCCCTCCCCAGCTTTCCTGTAGCCCCTTCAGGTACTGGAAGGTGCTCTAAGGTCTCCCTGGAGCCTTCTCTTCTCCAGGCTGAACAGCCCCAACTCTCCCAGCCTGTCTCCAGAGCAGAGATAAGTAGATGAGGAGGCCATTGATTAGTAGATGAGGAGGCCATTGACAAGTAGATGAGGAGCCGGTTGCTCTGACTTGCAGAGCCTACATGATGCACAAGGTGCCATAAAGTTGACGGCATGGTTGAGAAACGTAAAGTAGTGTTTCAGTATTTGATGTCATACATTGCTTTACCCTTCTAACACATTTCTTGTCTTCTTGCAGTACATCCACCACAGCCCTGGGAACTCCAAGCGAGGGTTTGGCATCGACTGTGCCATCCTGTCCTGCCAGGTTTACATCTCCCAGATCCTCGTGGCCTCCGCGCTGGGCGGTGTGGTGGATGCGGTTGGCACGGTCCGAGTCATTCCCATGGTGGCTTCGGTGGGATCCTTCCTGGGTTTTTTGACAGCCTCCTTCTTGGTGATTTACCCCGAAGTCAACGAAGAGCCTAAGGAAGAACAGAAAGGACTGGGTCCTCCAGAAACCACCGAGAGCAGCAGCACCAGCGCGGAGAAGCCGACAGTTCTGAAACTGTCGCGCAAAGGAACCGCTGCGTCGCTGCCGGAGAGCGAGTCCGCTGTGTGAGACCATCACTTGGTCTTCACCTACATTCCAGGGAGGACAGGTGTAGGATCAAGAACTTTGCTTTCTTTCTTTCTTTGTTCTTTGTTTGTTGTTTGTTAATATTTTTTTTTCCAGGAAAACAAAATTAGGATCTTCACTACTTGTTGTTAAAATGGCAGAAGAAAAGGCAGTTGCGTGCAAAAGTGTAAATGGAGTTCAGAGAGGTTTGAGCAGGTAGCTGTGATGCTAATTGCCTGAACACTTTGGTTTTTTAATTAAGAATACATTTAGTTTTCCAGTAGGTTTTATTAATCTGCATGAGGCACAGTGTATACAATTAGCAGTTAGGAAAAAAAAATATGAAGTTTTCAGCTGTTTTTAAACGAAACTGAAAATGGAAGCTGTCCTGCCTGCCCGAACGTTTCACCAGTGTCACCAAACGCTCAGATCAATTGATCAGTCCCATCTTGATCAATTCTCTTCATAAGCATGAGGATACTGGGCTGACAGCTACAGTTCGTTAAGGTTAATTCTAGGCTTCGTGTTTTTGTTAGTGCAATTACTACAGAAGATGGTTTTCTTTGCAAATGCTTTCCAAGAAAAACAAACAAAGCGATTCCTGCGGTTTCTGAGAAACTGCCGGGAATCCTTTCCAGTCATACTGTTCAACAACCACTCCCAGGTCTGCTGCACGTCAGAAAGAGGGTGACACTGTGTGAGCTGTAGATGAAAGGAGCAGCTGGGAGAGGTGACCAGCACTGGCAGGTGTTTTATCCCAAGTGCTGAATTTGATGAATGTCGTTGGAATACGCTGTGACAATTTTTAGCTGAGAGTTTTATGTGCTGGTGAGCTGGGGGGGGGCGGTTTGGGGGGGCTTGGTTCTTGGCATTTAAACTTAATCATCTCTAGATGAAGCTGCTGTGGAGAAAGGGTGTCTCTGGGGCAGCTTTGTGGCAGGGGGCTTGTGGATTCTCTTCCCTAGGGAAAGGAAGTAATTGATTACTTGCACTTTTTATGATCCTTTAAACCTCCCGGCTGGGAACGCAGCAGCCAGGGCCCGATGTCAGTACAAGAAGGAAAACTGAAGGCCTACCTCCCTCACCTTGTGACATAGTCTGGATGTATAAAAAAATCTGTGTCAGAAACAGGTTCTTAGGCCTTAAAATTCAATCCACTAGCATGTGTTGCTGTTTCAGTTCCTGTTTTGGAGGAGTGGATTCTCTTCCCTAGGGAAAGGAAGTAATTGATTACTTGCACTTTTTATGATCCTTTAAACCTCCCGGCTGGGAACGCAGCAGCCAGGGCCCGATGTCAGTACAAGAAGGAAAACTGAAGGCCTACCTCCCTCACCTTGTGACATAGTCTGGATGTATAAAAAAATCTGTGTCAGAAACAGGTTCTTAGGCCTTAAAATTCAATCCACTAGCATGTGTTGCTGTTTCAGTCCCTGTGTTGGAGGAGCTGTAGGCTGGAGGTCTTCCGAGCTGCTCTACCAATGTCATCAGCACAACCTCCCTGCCCCCTTCCTTGATTCAGGACATAGTGCAAAGACATTATTTCTGTGAAGAGCTTGAAAGAGTTGTGCTGCTCTGATGTAAAACAGCATTTGGCTCACCAGCAGTGTGCCTCAATCCAGGGGCAGCCACAGCTCAGAGATCCAGCAGCCACTTCAAAGCAACTTGAGAAACTCAACTTTGGTTTGTCGTCTTCTAAGAAGCGTCTGTGATGCTCTTTCCTCCTGTTTGCATGGACCTCGGGGCTGCAGTCAACCCATGTGCTAAACAGACAACCCACAGCTCCTTGTAAGGTTGCTGCTGCCTCAGACTCCTCATCCTGCAGCACTTCAAAATGCATGTGTAAATCATGCTGCAATGTTGTCCTTCAAACCAGAGCATCTATTGCAAAACCCACCAGCAGCTTTTCAGAAATGACTTGAATCGTCGACGTATTGAAGGAAGTGCATGGTTTGGTGTCTTGGCAGTGAAATGCACAGGGTCTTGGCCAGCATGGTTGACAAATTCCTGGTGGCATAGGTGGGTTTCTTGGCTGAAGGCTTTTCAGTTGGTGCCCATGCCCTGACAATGTCTTAGGTGATGTCACCAAGCGCCAAACAAATCACACAGGACTTAGGGGTAGGTTTTTTCCCCAAGTGTCTCCAGAGAGTTTATGTGGGTTGTTGCTTTTTTTTTCCTTTAAGGTGAATACTTTTTGATGTAGAACACATACTGTGAACTGTGTTCAGACAGGGCAGTCATACTACTGAAGAATCCAAGACCTTATTGAAGAAATCAGTTGTGAGAAATACTTTAACTGAACTTCTGCCGTGAATTTTATCATCTCAGTTACATTTAATATATTCTGGTGATGTTCATCTGTGGCAGAGATGAGTTGTGTTGCACCCTATAACTGGCATTCATGTGAAATACACCCTGAGTTAGACATTTTAAAGTGGCTTTAATACTATATTTTTAAAGCTCCTTGAAGATTCTGCTTTTGGTTGAACTAACACTGTCAAGTACTCCTTATTTTAACCTCTGTTTCTGGAAGGGTTCTTCTACATCTTCTGACCAGTGCCAGCCTTAACTACCCTTTTCCTCATGAGCTTCATGGGTCGGGGTGATTTCAAGTTGCTGTTTGCTGTACACAGCACCTTTGTGTAGGCCAAGATTTCTTTCCCAGCACCATCGAGTTGACCACGGTCTAGCTGTAAAAAGGGAGGAGATGTTGTTCCCTCTCACTTCACACCCAGCAGAGGGAATGTGGAGCTGTTCTGGAGGGTGAGTTCACACACATGTAGCTTTCTCACCCAGAGGAAGGGTGAGAAGAACATTTTGAATTCAGGTTTCAGTCAGAGGCAGGGCAGGTCTGAGTGTTGTCCCAGCCAGCATTTGGTATGGTCTGATTTCTAAGAATTAAGACGTCAAAACTCATATTTGAGGTTGTTTATGGGGCTGTTTAACCACCCTTCCTAACAGATTCATATTCCTTGGAGCAGGAAGCGCCGTTTCACGCCCCTGTAAAGCTGAAGGAAATAATGATCCATTGTGAAAGGCACTGAACTATTTGTAGTGTTGCCAGAAGAATTAACTGGGGGGAGCCCCTGCCAAAGCAGCTCCTCCTGTACCTTGGCCAGCCTGTGAAACCCCCGTGCTGCTGGTGACTGTTCCCAAGGCCTTCCAGGGCAAAGCTTTTTCTGGAATTTGAGGGAGTTTTCTTTCCCAGGGCAGACTGGGCAGTGATTTACTTCTTGCCATGTCCCTTAGCATTCGATACAGAGAGGAGTCTTTTCTTGGTCACGATTCAAAGGTGTGAAGTAGTGTGATTTTTGTTGTGGGAAGAGATTTGAAGGGGCTTCTTTTTTTTTTTTTTCCCATCCCTGCTGACAAACAGCACCATTCTTTGTTGTCATCATTACTGTGGTCACATTCATCCCAGGTGCTTCATCCCTTTCGACCTTCCCTGCAGCAGGTTGAAGGTGTGGTGGCTGCGTTCTGTGTTGCTCTGTACTGTAAATAAATGGAACATATCCTTCTGGTGAGGTGTAAGACCTCAGATTTGAGACACCCTCAGTGCTCAGACCCTCGAGTGCTGCAGTCACATCCAGGGTTATTTTACCTGGGAACAGAGAAGCTCAAACCTGGAGCCTCTCAGAAAGGCACGGCGTGAATTTTGCACTGTCGGGTTATTCCAAGAGTCCAGCGGGATCTGTGCTTGTTTGCAAATGGCAATTTCAGGCTCCAGAAGCAATAATTTCTTAGGAATGTTTCTCTTCCTGCTGGTTAGATGACTTTCACAGAGATTTATTACCTAAATAGCCTTCTAATAACATGAATCTGGTTGATTGCTAGCACTGGCAGTAAGCGGTTATGGAAAGATGTGGGTTGTTCATCACCAGAAGGGAGGAAGCCAGTAAATCCAGTGGAGGTTAGTGCTCCTTGAAACACACCATGTCCTTTTCCCCTTGCACTTGGAGCCTTTTCCTAAACTATTAAATATTCCTGGCTTGGTGGGCTGAAAAGAAGGCAGCTGCCAATGTAGCTTCCCAGTTTTCTGGTGCTGGCATGTGGATGAAACAGGCTGGTGAGAGGTTTTCCCCAGAGGGACACCAGGGCTGAGCCTTTCTCATTCATCTCCCTTCTGATCTGAGTGCCCCCAGCACTTGGAATGCCAGTGACAGCAGGGATTCTTGCCAGGCCCTTCATTAACACCTCAGTTCCATCCTTAGAAATGCACCCACCCATCCTCTGTTTCTGGTGAGCTTGACCTTCCTCCCGTGTCCACCATCAAAGGCTGGATTTTCATGGCTACCAGGGGGGCCTCGTGGCTGGAGAGAGTCACACTTGGCTCCTGGGAGATCCTCATCCAGGAGCTCAGTTGGGGTCACTCAAGTTTCCATTTTGTCTAGACCCATGGCCAGGTTGCCCAACACTCCATTGTCCAGTCCCTGCAAAAAACCTGTAGCTCAGTCCCTGAGAGTTGGGCTTGTGTGTGTCTGTGTGTCTGTCCATGTACATACACTGCTCAGGCCAAAACGCCTTTGCTGGTTGTGTCCTCACTGTCCTCAACAATGTTTCCAACTGAGTTCTTCCAGGTTTCCCTCCTCCCAGTCTGATGCAGAGACAAGCTCAGCTATAAATATATATCTTATTTAAATGAATAAGTAAACTCCTGCATGATATTCCAAGCACATGTAGCAGCTTCGGCATCTGAAGTATCTATTGTGAAAGAGAAGTTGGTTTTATTTGCAGCTGTTTTGTCCTTGTTTCCTTTTAAATAGGCCAAATAAATGTAACGAACACCAAATGTTGCACAGAAATGTTATTAATGACTGTGTAGAAGAAATACCAAATTTTATTTTTCTTTGCAGAAACTTTATGGTTACAGAGAGTCCTCTAGCTTGTTACCCTTCCTTAAATGACAAAGCTGAACGTTTGTAAAGTGCATAGAAATGGTCATTAAAAAAAAAACAACACAACAAACAAACAAAAAAAATGGAGCTACCCAAAGTTTTCTGTTCCTC